AGTGGCACACCCAAGAGACCTCGTACCAGCTGAACCAAACTAAAACGAATACCTGAGGCTGTACCAAGAAAAAAATACCTGCTACCATGGGCGAGGGAGGTCTAATGGGTGTGACAAAGAGCAGTGAAAAAGAGTGTAATGCATGGTGCAAGCATGGCAAGCAAAGCAACACAGTGTCAGGGTTGGAAGAAGAGAGGAAGGGTGGGATAATTAGCTGTGGGTGAGTTGGGTGGAGAGCAGCTGCTGCCTGAGCACTCCATGTCCCCCGCCACTGCCACTCCCGTGTGAGTGACCTGCTGCAGCCAGAAGGGGGCAGATCGGGACAGAGAGAGGAAGAGGGGGGGAGGTGGGGAAAAAACGGGGGAGTGAAGGGGGGGCAGAGGGGTGGGGGGGGCAATGAGGAAAGAAGCAAAAATGAGAGGAGTGAAGTGACAGCAAAGAGTGCCGCAAATGCAATAATGATGCGTGCATGAATGACTGCTGCAGTGGCACACCCAAGAGACCTCGTACCAGCTGAACCAGATTAAAACAAATACCTGAGGCTGTACCAAGAAAAAAATACCTGCTACCATGGGGGAGGGAGGTCTTTTGGGTGTGACAAGAGCAGTGAAGATGGGAGTGTGATGCATGGTGCAAGCATGATAAGCAAAGCGACAGAGTGCGTGGGTTAGGAGAAGAGAGGAAGGGCGGGATACTTAGCTGTGGGAGAGTTGGGTGGATAGCAGCTGCTGCCTGTGCACTCCATGTCAGCCGCCACTGCCACTCCCAGTCTGCTACTCTGCTTCCCCTGCTGCTGCCGCTGCCCCTCCCCTCCCCTCCGCTGCTGCCCTGCTTCTGCCCCGTGCTGCCCTGCTACAGCCTTCAATGTACTGGGAGGGAGGGAGCAAGGCAGGGGTAGGCAAAGGATCAAGGGACAGCAGTGAGAATGGGGAGAAGAGTAGGCACAAGCTACAAGGAACCAAAGGAGCAGAAACGGGAAGTCAGCATGGGGAGAAGAACAAGCAGCAGCATGAGTGCACGAGGGAAATGAGGCTCACCTTGTTTCAGACGACCCAATCCCAATACTCTCCCATCCCATCCCAGCCGAGTGGAGTGCTGCCCCCCTCCCCTCCCACCACTGCCACTCCCAAGTGAGCGACCTGCTGGGACGGGAGGGGGTGGGTTGGGACAGAGAGAGGAAGGGAGGAGGGGGGGAAGAAAACGGTGAAGTGAAGGGGGCGCAGAGGAGAGGGGAGAGCAGTGAGGAAAGAAGCCAAGACAAGTGCAAGTGAAGGGTGCAGCAAACCCAAGCATGATGTGTGCATGAATGGACTGCTGCAGTGGCACACCCAAGAGACCTCGTACCGGCTGACCAAAGTCAAATGAATACCTGAGGCTGTACCAAAAGAAAAGATACCTGGTACCTTGGGGGAGGGAGGTCTCTGGGATGGCGCACAGCAGCAAGGGAGCGAGCACTGAAGAGCGAGCAAGCATGAAATGAAAGGCAGAGAGCGAGGAGCAGAGGAGCAGTGCGGGGCACTTAGCTGTGGCGAGGGTGAGAGGCGAGTGGAGAGGAGGCTTGGCTGCTGCTGCTCCGTGTAGAGGCGAGCGGACGACACTCAGCTTCTTGCCTCCCTGGCCTCTCCGCTTGCCCATCCGCCCTCACAGCAATGCATCTGGAGGGAGATTGAGGCGGTGAAGGCAGGGAGATTGACGCAGAGAGGTAGCAAGTTTGAGAGGGCAAGCAGCACATGGAAGGAAGGAGGGCAGGAGGGCGAGGAAAGCAGCATGGGGAGAAAAGCAGCATGGCGAGAAAAGCAGCATGGCGAGAAAAGCAGCATGGCGAGAAAAGCAGAACGACATGGAGAGCAGAGCACCACCGGAGCAGATAAAAACGAGAGTGGAAAACGCGGTGCAAGAGAGAGGAGGGAAGCGAGGGGAGTACCTTGCGTGGTGATGGGTGGAGTGGAGGGCGGTCATCCAACAGTGCGTGGCAGAGCCAGATGACGCCCCCGCTTGCTCTCAGTTGACATTGGTCCCCGCCTTGGCCTGCTCGATCTCCACTCATTGCCGCTCAGGATGGTGCGTCTGCTAAGTCAGGCGAGACAGTTAGAATTGCTGGGAAAAACGAAAATCGCGGGTAGTAAACACAGAGATTTCACGGAAGAGAAACCGAGCTCTGAAACTTCCTTACTTGGTGACGAGTGTAACGGATGGCGAAGTCGCGAAGTGTAACGGATGGCGAAGTCGCGAAGTGTAACGGATGGCGAAGTCGCGAAGGATGACGTGGAAGCACGAGAAATGGCGGATTGGAATGTCGGACGACTTGAAACGGTTGTGCGTTCTCCTGCAAGTCGCGAGAGACACGACGATTAGCTGCTGTACCGAGAATTGCAAAGCTGGCGAATCACCGAATGAACTATCCGATCCATGGCTATTTTTTACTGGAATTGCGAAGTTGGACGCGGAACAGCCGAGGTTGGCGACGACCAGCGAAAATCGACGTCGAAACCAAAACTTCACTGGAATTCCGAGAAATGGACGTCGAAAATCGACGTTTTCACGTGAAACTCGAAAATCGACGCTGACCGGTAGAGGAGGACGTCGAATAGCGAAGACTGGCTTCTACGAGCAAAATCTGATTCAATCCCGCACTAAGAATGCCGTGTTAACTCCACGGAACGCTCTCGAGTGAGAAGAGTACGACGTCCGTTTGGCATGAAATTTGTGAGCCAAAAGGCTAGAGCGAGAAAAAATGGGAAGCAGGCGGACTAGAGTGGGGCAAAACGAGGTTGCTGCACGAAAGCGTCGAGGTCATAGCCACAAACCAACCCCAAGGCTACCAGCATTCGCTTCCCTTCGAAAATGCCGAGACAATCGCAGCCGTTCATGAAAACGAGATTGAACCGCGAAAAAACGCAACGGCTAAACGGAAATGAGATGGATTGGTGGAGGATAGTCGTGTCAGGAGCAGTCCAACCCCAACCGTGAAATTGAGGTCAAAAGCTTCACGATTGGTGGCTATTCGTGACGGTGGGTTGACGAATCAAAACATGGACACTTAGCGCTGTCGGCTGGGCGGGAGGCAGGGCAAAAGAGACTAATTGGTGAGTGAATTGGGTGGAGGCGCCAATGGCGGCGGCAGCCATGGAAAGGGAGGAAAATCAGGATCAGATCATAATGGGAGCAGATTGGAGGAGTTCCCTCGAACCCTCTGACACTCACAACGGCTACCAGAGCCGCCCCCCGCTAATTGGCTCTCCGTTTCATTCACCGACAACGAGTAGCTGTAACCGCTTGTGGGTTCGCGAATGACAGTGCGAGAAGCTCAAATGTTTGCGAAGTTGGTATGTGGTGTGAACTTGGTTGGGGGTGGGAATCCAAGCGATACTTGATGAAATCCAATCAGTACCGGGTGGGAAAAGATACTGGAAGAGGGAGAGCGGAATGATTTTCAGACTCAACTGGTTGGAAGAGAGAATTAGTGCGAAACTCGTGCATTTTCCGAAATTGTCGTCGCCCCACCACCACAGTTCTGCCAATTCCCGAGTTCCTGATTCCCGAGTTCTGCTCTCCGCCATGGTTTCCTACCTCTAGGAACAACAGCAACAATGTCAAGTCTAAGAGCTTCAGATTCTAAATCTGATCATTGTTTCGGGATCTACTCATCAGAGGCTACTTGTCGACACCAAAATCGTGTTCACACAGAGAACATCTGGTGGTCGTCGTGTCATCTGAGAATCCCGTTTTTTCAGGTTAAGAACTACCTTAAAGCTCCAGGCATTGACCGTTTTGCTCAAGCTGTTCCGAGGAAGATTAATATGGCAAGACGTCACGCAAGTTTGCAGCAACATTATACTGCAAGTTCAACGCAACACGTCAAGTACAAGTTTAAGACAGCTTTCCAGCGAAACGTATTTCGATTATCAGCGTTTTCTGCCATTCAACGACAACAGAAACCGACGTGAAACGAGATTGAATTCGGCTATGGCTACTAAAGTATTTGAAGAAGAAGTTTTTCTTCCTGGAAGTTTTCAGAATGAAGGCCTTTTTTCTACCCAATCAGTAGATGGTGAAGACTCTTATTATAAGCTCCTGGACGAAGGTATGGCAAGCAATGCCGGACACAATGCGACACATCAGTTTCAAGAAGAATTTTACCAACTACAAGATTCTGACGAGAGCTTCTCGACATCCCGACGCCATGGAGGAGTTGGGCTGTGTGGAGAGAGGGACAGAGTAGAAACAAAAGCTGCACAATGTACTCCAAGTTTCCTGCAGGGCCCACGGATACACCAGATCGCCAAGGTGGTTGGAAGTGTTCGCCAACGATTGAGAACCAGGCTCGGAGGAGCCAAACCACCAAAGCTGAAGCGACACAACCAACATGAGGAACAATGTATCGAGATGTTTCGGCTAGTGCTGCAGTGTGACAGTATTACAATAGGGTTTTGTGGCGGGCAAGTTGAAATCTTTAGGCGTCTGGTTTATAAGCCTCCTTAGAAATCTGAGAGGGTACGGTATACAATACATATGCCCTCTAGCTACGGTTACGACCGCGGTGTTTTTGCATTGTACGTGTATAGTGCATATTTCACCTACCAAAAAAAAAAAAAAGTGCGAAACTCGTACAAATTCGATCAGTACCAGGTGGGAGAATATCCCTGACGGGTGCTTTTCAGACTCAACGTCTTTTCTAGCTTTGACGCTTAGAAGGACCTAAAGTTTCTGAACTCTGGAGACTGACACACTTGCTGGGTGTCGCTTTTCCGGCAACTCGCCCGCATCCCCCAGCGATACTGTATCATTGACTCCAAGGCCGCCATGGATTCCATCCCGGCAACTTCGGAGGTCGCAATGTCCCACAATTTCTTGCCTGATGGAGGTTCTAAGCTTACCACTGGTTACCTCTCGCGGAGCTCTATAAGCAGATACCTTTTTCGTGTTCATACAGTTAACATTTATCATGCTTATAACCTCATTCAGTTCATCAGACAACTCTGTATCTCCAGTCTTCCACCATGCCGCCTAAGAAGGTGACGAAGCCAGCTCCTAAGCTGACTCAAGAGCTTGCGGAGTCGCCTAAGACGGCTGACGGGGCCTCCCCCCCTAAGGAGGCTCCTGGCGATGGGCTGCTTACTCCAGTACATCCTGCGTCAGAGCGTCCGGACCTGCTGGCTGCGGATCTGGGTCAGCCGTCATTGTCAGCCCGTTTATCAGCGCTCAAGGTCAACGGTCTGAAGGACGAGGTTGATCGTCCTGCTGCTGTCAATGATTCTGCGGCTCAGTCCACACCTCAGGACTCCCCGACGCGCTCTCCGGAAGCAGAGCTCCTTGATGAACCTGTGGTGGAGGATGATGATGAGGGCTACATTAGCGATGATCTGGACGAGGAAGCTGATCCTGAAGCATTGAGCATTATCGCTTCTAAGCTGAAATACACGCTAACACTTCTTGTCCCTTTCAGGCACGAATCAGAAGTGCCTAGGACGGCTGATACGGTTGCAGCTCACCTTGATCATTGGAAAGAGGATCTATCACCTGAAGCTCAAACTACTACGACATGCCAGAAACTGACATCGGCTTACCTCTCCAAGACGCGTTTCGGCCGTCTGCAAGTCGTCTTCACCTCGGAAGATGACGCGTACTACGTCAGGCAGAGGAAGATTGAACATGTCACGCTTAAGGGGGAGACGCTGGAGCTGAGGTGGCAGTTTCTGGAGGACTCCACGTATGTTCATCTGCGAGCACTCCACCCGCAGGCGGTCGAGGTGGTGTTGAAGGGTGTTCCGGCGGAGGTGACTCCTGAAGTGGTTAGCAGCCTGCTGGTGGAAGTGAAACTGGTCAAGAGGGGGAAAACTGCATACAAGGAGGGTTTCGGTTTTCACCGTGTTCAGGATCCAGTCACGGGTTTGGACACTGACAAGATACGCGGCATGGTGGTTCAGCATGAGAATGATCGCTACCGCTGGCGTCACTTCATTGAAGAGCCGGCGAAGAGAGGGAAGAAGATTCTGCTGCACTTCCCTTCGGTCACGTGTGATTTCTACAACGGCCATCACTTGACCCGCTACCACGACGACTACGTCACTGACCGTCAGGCAAAAATTGCCAAATGGAACCTCACGATTAAACGTATTCATGAGATCAACGGTATTAAGGACGGCTCACGTTTTTATCTTCGTGACTCACCTCAGTCGTTACTTCCTATGTACTGTACTGACTCACCTCTGTACTCACTTACGCGCAGCGGCCTCTCTGGTAGTCACAGACCGCCTGAAAGCCATCTTGAAGGACCCTGCGATTGTGCTGGTGTCGACCGGAGGATCCTGCGAGGACTGGGTGTGCATTCAGGATGCATGCGAGAAGGCCCACGGAACCAGTTTCGAGCTTGCTGCGGCGCATGTAGCGTCCTTCCGCCACAAGTCCAACCGCACCAAGGCAGGAGCTGCTACCCGTGCGAGCAAAGGTGCTCTCAATGTCGCGGCCCTGAGGAAGGAGTTTTTCAAGTGACCGGCTGTGGGAGAAAGAGAGAGGCAGAGACTTCAGTAAGGAGAGATGAAGCGGTGTCCAGAATAAGGCTCACAGAGCTAGCTGTATCCGGGTGTGCTGTGGCCATATCGGCGGTTGTTGTGGTGTCTTGTTGTGTGCTACTTTCAATGCGATCTTATGACCCGTGGATGCTGTGGGGTCTCCAGGCAGTGGTCAAATGAATACACCCAACACCATCAAGTTAAGCGCGCTCAATATCAACGGCTTGGGCAGCGCAGGGAAAAGGAATAAGTGCTGGAGGTGGCTAAGGAAAGCCGTAGATGTAGTGGTTCTGACTGACACGAGGATAAGTGAAGATCACAATTTTTGGACACAACTGAGACCCACGGCGGTAGCCTCAGCATCGCCTACACAGAAAGCTGGGGGGGTAGCGGTGCTGGTCTTCTCACCTGAGATACGGCTGCTGGATGTGGTGAAGCACGCGTCAGGAAGGCTGATCAGTGTCGACTTGAAATGGAAAGAACTTGAGCTGCGGCTGGTCGCAGTGTATCTTCCGGCGCAGGCGGGGATACGCAATGTCTTCCTCAGGGACTGCCTGTTCCCCTTCTTAGACGGATTGCCTGCAGCAACGCACACAATGCTCATGGGGGATTTCAATCTGGTGGAAGATCCGGAGCTGGACAAAACATCTAAACTCGGGTCAATGGCTGAGAATCAGAGACTGCTGAACGGATGCGCCGGGATGGACTTACACGACGCCTTCCGCACCCTTCACCCGGTGAAGAAGGAGTTCACCTTCTATTCAAGGTCGGCGAGGGTGAGCTCAAGAATTGATCGCGCGCTTGTGTCAGCGTCGATGCTGGGCTGCATAGGCGGAGCTTTCCACACCTCTATCCCGAAGGGGATCACGGATCACTGGTTTGCAATCTCGGTGAAGCTGATGTCGTCTGAGGGGAACGCGAAAGGTCCCGGCCTGTGGAGGCTACCTGCAAAAATAGCAAAAAGTCAAGGAGTGAGGAACATTGCGCAGGCGATTACACAACAGCAGGGTGCGGAAGATGATTTCGTCAAAACGCTGGAGAGGCTGAATGCGGGTCTGAAGGAATATGCGAAAGCAGAAAGAAGGAGAGTGGCCCGTACCGTTGAACATCTGGAGGAGAAGGTAGCGGTGCTCAGACAAGCCTTTATGAGTGGTGCCGGGAATCTCGACCTGCAAGAGCAATTGGCAAGGAGTGAAGCACAGCTGAAAGCGTACTGGGATGGGAAGAACGATTGGCTACAGACGTTGGCAGGCATACAAGGGGAGTTGGAGGGGGAGACGGCGTCCAAGTTCCTCACGGGGAAGATAGCTTCACGGAGAGCGAAGACAGAGATTCAATCGCTTTCGGTAGGGGGGAAAACGGTGACGGAGGCGAAGGAGATCTTGCTGGCCGCATCAGATTTCTTCCGTGACCTCTTTGGAAAGGCCAAGGAGACGTCGGGGGAGAAATGGCTAACCGACAAGAGCAAGCGGCTGGATGAGAAAGACAGGGAAGTGCTGCAGGCGAAATGGACGGAAAAAGAAGTCAAAAAGGCGCTAGCAGAGCTGCCCAAGGGGAAAACGCCAGGCCAAGACGGTCTGCCGAGGGAGTTTTTTGAGAGCAACTGGGACATTCTTGGGCCAGGATTGATGCGATTCATACATTCCTTCGAGCAGTCGGCGAAACTCCCGGAAAGCCTTACGACGGCAGTAACGATCCTGCTACACAAGAAGGGGGGAAAGGAGAGATTGGAAAACTACAGGCCGATCACGCTTTTGAACACGGTATACAAGATTGTGGCGAAGGTGCTGGCGAATAGGATGAAAAAGGTTCTACCGAAAATGATCTTGGAGGATCAGCATGGGTTTGTACCAGGGAGGAAGCTGTCAGATGCAGCGGCGGCTGTAGCACATGTGATTGATGCTGCGGTGACGGGGAAGGAGGATTGGTACCTGCTTTTGGTCGACTTTCAGAAGGCATACGACTCTGTGTCACGAGAGTACCTCTTCAGCACCCTAAAAGATATGGGCTTCCCGGAAACGTTTGTCAGCTGGGCAGAAGGGCTTCACAATGAAGCGGGTACCAGACTTCTCCTCAACGGGTGGCTTGGAGAAAGGCTGGGGGTGGAGGTCGGAGTAAGACAAGGGTGCCCACTCGCGCCGTATCTGTTCATCTGCGCAGTGGAGCCTTTATGTCAGGAAATTAAGAAAAGGAAACTCGGGGTCAGGAAGCGCAGAAAGGGGGAGCTAACATACCTGGGGTATGCAGACGACACTACACTGGCTTTGAATGGGCTTGCGCAGGTGGAAAAGGCGGGAGAGGTGCTGAAAGATTTTGGGGAGGTATCAGGCCTGCGCATCAACCAAGAGAAGACTGTGTTAATGCCGTTGGGGAGAAACCGCAGGCGGAAATTGGCGAAGCAAACAATTTTCAAGATGGCAGTACCTGACCAACCGGAGAGGTTGCTGGGGGTGTGGATCACACCAAACGGGGAGGCGAGACCGTCCTGGGATAAAGCTTTCGAAAGAGTCAGCAGCTCACTTAGCCGCTGGGCGGCCCAGCATCTCACAACAACAGCCAGGGTGGCGGTGATCAACTCATATGCGATGCCGGTGTTGCTCTTCCAGGCGCAGATATACCCGCCGCCGGTTGATTTCTGGACGAGAATCCGCAGATTATGCCACAACTTCGTGTCGGGGGGGAAGTCGTCGCTGGACAGAAGGTTCGTCCTTTGTAGTTATGACCTGACATGCAGAAGGAGAGACGGGGGATTGGGGGTCATCAGCCCGAGGGACCGGATAGACAGCATGGCGTTACAGTGCCTTAGCAAAGCCATTGCGGAAACGAGTGAGATCAAAAAGTGGATGATGGAGCAAGCGGCGAAGATGCCTTTGGGCTGGGCGACTCTGTGGGCACATGAGAATATCGCCAGCCGATGGAAAGAGGGGGGTGAAAGGTGGAAAGCCTTCCTGCAAATCCTGTGGAAGAGGAACATCCCGCTATTTGGAGAGCCGCAGTCCAGATGGGAGGTGGAGCAAGAACATCTCTGATTTAACAGGCGGATCCTCTTCAGAGGGAACAGTCCGTTCGGCGCACAGAGAGGCTCGGAGTGCTTGAAAGGGATGAAGCTCGCCGACCTGCTCATAAAAAATCTGGACGGGACAGTGGCGGTCAAGGATTTGGAGAGACTGAGCAGGGAGATGGGAGGCAAACCCCGGGCTAGATGGGCGCTCAAAGCATTTCAAGCCGCCCCGGTGGAATGGAGAAACACCTTGTTAAAACAACGGACAGCGGAGGAAATCGCTGAAGCAACAGACTTGGTTCGCACCGGAGGGGAGGTAGTGAAGCAGCAGAACTACTGGAGGGTTCTACGCACGGAAGGGGAAAGGTTGGTGGTGAAAAGAGTGGAGGTGGTACGAGGCATCATAACACCGGCTCTGTACGCAAGCCCCTTCGCCATCAGTGTGTCGCGGGTCACTCCGATCAAAACGGCAGACGAGAAAGTGTTGGGCCCGCTTGGCCATCATCTTACCAGGCTACGAGAGTCGGCGCTCTGCAAAGGGGGGGAGCTGGTGGCTCTGAAAACCCTAAGAAGAGCTACCAGGGAGCCAGCCGAGAAGCCGAAACAGCAAGTCCGATGGGAAGAGGAGTATGGGGGGAAAATCAACTGGGCAAGGACTGTGGCTGCCTGGGACTCAATGGTGGTGCCATCCAGAGCAAGGGAGGTGCTCCTTCGGCTCCACAGCAAGAACCTACAGGTGGGCGCCAGGCTCCCTTTCTTGGGCAGCTTGGCGCGCTGTCCGCACTGTGGTGCAGAGGAGACAGTGGATCACTGCTTGATGCTCTGCCCGGAGGTGGGAAGAGTTGTCGGGAAGCTGCAAGCAGCTTTGAAAATGTTGGGAGTAAAAGAGGAGGCGAGAAGTGTGGGCGAGCTGCTATTTCAGGACACATGCACGAAATCCAGTTTCCCGGAGCTGCCGCTGGTTGCCATCACTTTTCATCAACTTTGGCTGGAGAGGTGTGGTTCAGTTTTCAAACAAGAAAAGTTTCAGTACAAGAGGGTGATCAGGAAAATTATGGCAAGCTTCATGCGGCATGTGAAGGCATACAGCAAGTGGAAGGGCATGCAGCAACGTAGGACAAAGATAGCGAGCGGCAGGAATTGGGGGCACCTGGCCTTGGATGAGGCGAGGGCGCTGGGCAACCTGTTTGTGGGGGAGAAAGATATGACGTGGACAGAGAGCTTTCGTGGGATCTGGGAAGATCCGAGGGCACGTTTTAAACCGCCATAAAGGGGGTCTTGGGGGAGTAACTGCTAGTCTCGTTAGTAGTTAAGTCCCTCATGGAAACAGTTACGACTGTGGTTGTATACTTATCGATAGTGTACTTCAAAAAAAAAAAAAAAAAAAAAAAAAAACTCTGGAGACTAGCGTCGGGTCGTGGGTCTCCTCGTTCTGTGCGGAATTTCTGGCATGTCTCAGAAGCACGTGTACTCGATATCCTGAATGCGTGGACAGAGATGAGAGGGATTGGGCGAAATCAGACTTCTGCTGTTGCGAAATCAGCCGAGGGGAACACTCACTTTAGCGAAAAGACGAAGCAGTTCTAGAGCTTCAATTCAGAATATATCTGCAATATTGTTGTTGAAATTGGGGAGAATAAATCTATATGTTTATGAAGAGCACACTCGATATAGCACTTTGTCAGTTATTGCTAAACTAATTGAGGAGATATGTACTCACGATGGCTAAAACGATATCCAAAAATGGGTCATTCTACATGGAACCCAGATAGGTCACGTCAGCATTCCTCCACGTCATTCAGACCTTTCTGAGAGAGACGGAAGTGATCGACAGCCAATAGGCGAGTGCCTAGAGAGTTTTCGTGCAATCCTCGAGGCCACAATCCCCATCCACTCTTTTTCGCCTCGGGCGTTTCCTTGCCGAAAGGAATCATTCGCTCACTGAGTCTCCAACCTCCTCTTCAGCCACGGAAGGCGGCTTGGATAAGGCTAGGGCACAGGGATTTCCCCGTGCTCCTGCTACTTCTGCTGTTTAGGGCGAGTTGTTGTGCTAATGTTGGACTTCACTCTCTGAACTGGAGCCATTGCTTGTCATTTTTTAAAGACACGCAGGCAACGACATCTCCTCTATCTGATCCGAGCCTTCTGCTCGAACGGAGGGGTTTGTCATTTGCTTCGCGAAACATCGTGGCCATCGTGTTTCGAGGAGCTTTCGATTCGTGAACCGCTACGAGCTTACGCGTTAGAACCGCGTTTTGTTCTTGGTTCTTTGGTACCACTACAAAGATGGCGTGTTCCATGGCCATGACGCAAGCAGCCAAATGCGGCCTCTCTCTCGCCGCCGCACCCACAGCTAGAGCCGGGTCCCCCACAATCACCGCCTCTGGAGTTCCGCTCACCGCGCTTCCACGTGGAAGTCCGTCAGCTGTCCGTTCCGTCGCAGCTGTATCGGTCAGCTCCCGTTTCAAGGATTCCTGGTGTGGGAAGGCGCATCTGGGATGCAGCGACATGCGCGTCGCTATTCAAGGTAGCACCTTCTGTTCCTTTTCACTTGCGCGCCCTTGATGAGCTGTGTTCCTTCTGTTCGTCTCAGAGAGTCGTAAACATTTTCCCGCTGTCTCTCTTCCTGCATGAGAGAGGATACAAAAAGCTTACGACGGCGGCCACGAACTGAAGCACATGCCATGAGCTATTATGTCAAGCTTCTTCCTCGATCTACGCCTTCACCGCTCTGCCATGATCTTTAACCCCACGAACTCTCCGTTCCCTCTCCGTTTCCCGGCTTCCCGCAGCTAGCAGAAGCGTCGCGAGCAGGAGCACTCGGACGGCGGGCAAGGGTCTGCTGGTGCAGGCGTCTTTCATGGGCGTGGGCGCGCCCGAGGCACTCGTGATCGGCGTCGTCGCGCTGCTCGTGTTTGGACCCAAGGGGCTGGCCGAGGTACGCCGAGATTAATGAAGGTCTAATCAGAAAACCATCGTGGCCTAGATTCGTTGTGATCGCGGCCCTATCCGTGTCGCTGTTTCACGGAGGGTTGAAAATCAATAGGAAGGGTTTGGGATGAAGGATGCGAAGCCAGGCAATATAACTAAAACGGGCAAGACAAGATAACGCAGAATACTGTTTTGCTGCAGAAGCAAACTATTTCCTGCGTCTGTTTCTGTTCTATTTCAGATGGCTCGCGGCGTGGGCAAAACGCTTAAGACGTTTCAGCCGACGATCAGGGAGCTCCAAGAGGTGTCCCGGGAATTCAGGGATACGCTACAGTCGGAGATTGGAATCGATGACATCCGGAACCCGCCGCCCCCTCCCCCCACCCCCGTCGCCGCTCCTCCTGCTGTACCTCCCACTCTTTCCGCCGCTGCCCCCGCCGCTGCACCCGCCGCTGCTGCCGCCGCTGCTCCCGCCGCCACCGCCGCTTCTGCCGCTGCCCCGAATGTCACAATCATCCCCAGGGGTTCGTCCTTTGCCTTGCAGATTCATCCCTTGTATCTTTATTTGATATTTTCCAGCAACGCGAGAGGAAAGCGCTAGAAGGATATGACTGTTCCGTGGGCGAATATGATGAGAGCGGTCGCCTCCTATCCCCGCCACAGGCCCCTCACCACCTGCATACTGGCACCTCTCAAACCATGCCCTCGATACAAACTTTTCCACAAATGCTGGTCGTTTGGGCTTTTTTCCTTGCTCCTTTCGCTCCCACCCTCTCCTCTTTTCCTCGCCAGTCCCCTCATAGTCCTCTCTATCCGCCTGTTCCTTTCCTCCCTGGCCTCTCCTCCCCTCCCGCGCCGCATCACCCCATCGCCCATCCCTCACCACCACGTGCAGAGTTCTCAGCTGATGACGTGGCGAAGGTGACGGAGCAACAGCTGGCGGCCGCCGCCTCGCTCAACACAGTCACGGACGACATGAAGAAAGGTGAGGGCCCGTGGGGTTGTGATGCGGCTTCGAGAAGTATGAAGACGGATGAGGGGCGTGTGATGGATTGTGAGGCAGCTTTTTGACCGTGACAAAAGCTGGGTTCTTGTTGTGTGGGTTCTTATGATGGTGGGATGACCAGTCCAGAGGTGCATGATTGCAACGTCCTTATCATGTACTAGCTGCATCTGAAAATGTTTGAAGTCTGCAACGCACCATGCCATTTCATGAAACTTGGGGGCCTGGTTGTAGCCCTTTCCCAGAGTTATGTCCGTGTGTGTCTAATCATGTCATCTCCATACGTTCTCTCCCATGCATCCTTGTCCATGCATTCATGCCCATCCTCTACAGCATCTGCAGCTGCTGCATGGGCTCCTGCTGCTGTTGCTACCCCAGCAGCAGCTCCTGCTGCTGCAGCAGCTACACTAGCAGCCACATCGTCTGCAGCACCCGCAGCGCCAGTATCACCGCCAGCAGCAGCAGCACCGGCAGCACCAGTAGCACCGGCGGCACCAGCAGCAGCAGATTCCGCAACCCCTAGCCCAGTCTCTCCGGTTGATGAGAGCAAGACACCTGCCCCCGGCTGCTGAGAGATAGATGACTGCATAGCTGTTATGTATGAGGGGAGTGCTAATAGTTTTGTGTTTTGCACCTGTGTCTCTAAAGATGAAGTGGTGTGGTGTGAATGGTGTGATGTGTGCCTTTTTGCTAGGACTGAAAGAGTGCCTCTAATAAGCCTAGGTATGGGTATTGTAAACTGGTTAATGAACTGCAAATGGTTGCTTAGCAGCATGCTTTCACTCAACTCAGCTGCCAGAAACAGCAACTGAAATCATCTAGCACCTAGGGAAGATCTTTACAGGGGATAAAACGTGCTTACCCGGAGTTCCATAATCCATTCCCCATCTAGGAAAGTTATGGTAACCAGAAACCTTTTTTTATAAACTTTGGCTTAGGTTCTGTAGACTGACAGTTCCTAAGCATGCGGCTGCGTTGGCGGCACAGGTGCGTTGTCATGCAACCACTTGAGGTACGCTTCACTGCCGCCCACAATCGGGAGCGCTATGAGCTCAGGCACACTGCATCCGCCCACATGGCACATGCAAACATACCATATACGGCATCAATGGAGACAGGGGGGTGGGGGGCATGTGTGAAGACGTATGGATGAGGCGGGGAGGCAGACCAGAGAAAGGGAGAAAGGGAGAAGGGATGTGGGGAGCAATGGTTGGGGGGGACAAGGGATGAGCTGCAACCTTTCAGCAAAGGGAATTTCCTCCCACCTCCATCGCCACCTCCTCATGCAAACCAAACTCATCCCTCGCCCATCCTAACCAAAACATACATATCCCTTCCCTTCACCCATGCATGCACCCCTCCCTCCCATTCCCTCTCCCTACCTCCCGAGCCTGCACTCACTCGTAAGGATGGTTCCCCTTGAGGTGCTCTTGAATAGAAGGCAGCAAGGCACGCCGTGTCTTCACTATAAGCAGCTCTTCGTTATCAGTCTCAATCTGCAGGGTAACAATATAAAAAAACATGGGCCGCGCAGAATGGATGCTAAAAAAATTCTGGACAAAAGAAACAACTATAGCATGGACCGGAAAGTCCAAGGTCCATAGTGGCAAGAAGGAGAATTCCGGCAAGTACCGGTAGCACAACATTTACACGAGGCAGTATTGCTGCACGGCACAGGGATGGCGTAAACTGTGATCTGCCACAGGGGCTTGCACAGGCAACACCATGTATGGCAATGCACGGCAATGACCTTCAGTGCAATGCATGGGCGCAATAGAAGGCATTGCATGGCGATTCCACGTGGCTGCAACACTTGACAGCAGCTCGGGCAATTTACTCACCTTTCCCTCCCACCAGTAGGTTGACTCGACTCCTGCCCACGCCCCCACACACGAGAGAACAACAGGTAGACAAATAGAGAGAGTCAGCTAAGTTCCTGTGTCAATTGCTCACCCAAATCCGCCCCCCACACCTCTCCCACCTATTCCCCATCCCTCCTGTTTATCCACCCCTCACCCTGCCTCCAAACGCATCATTGATCTGCCCAAAGCACCCAACTTGACTAAGCTATGCAGGAGTTACTTTTGAGAGTTCTCAAAAGCGCTTCCCTCACTCTTTCTCTCCCTCCCACTCCATCTCTCTCCCCACTTCAACGCCCTCCTCCACTTGATTTCCCTCACAACACCACAACCCACAACGCCCAAACGCATACTCAGCAGCCTTGAACTTCCAGCAGCACTGGGGGTGATGGGGGTGATGGGGGTGATGGGGATGATGGGGGTGATGGGGGTGATGGGGGTGATGGGGGTGATGGGGATGATGGGGGTGATGGGGGTGATGGGGGTGATGGGGGTGATGGGGGTGAAGGGGGTGATGGGGATGATGGGGGTGATGGGGATGATGGGGTTGATGGGGGTGATGGGGGTGATGGGGGTGATGGGGGTGATGGGGGTGATGGGGGTGATGGGGATGATGGGGGTGATGGGGGTGATGGGGGTGATGGGGGTGATGGGGGTGATGGGGGTGATGGGGATGATGGGGGTGATGGGGGTGATGGGGGTGAAGGGGGTGATGGGGATGATGGGGGTGATGGGGGTGATGGGGGTGATGGGGGTGATGGGGGTGATGGGGGTGATGGGGATGATGGGGGTGATGGGGGTGATGGGGGTGATGGGGGTGATGGGGATGATGGGGGTGATGGGGGTGATGGGGGTGATGGGGGTGATGGGGGTGATGGGGGTGATGGGGGTGATGGGGATGATGGGGGTGATGGGGGTGATGGGGGTGATGGGGGTGATGGGGGTGAAGGGGGTGATGGGGATGATGGGGGTGATGGGGATGATGGGGGTGATGGGGTTGATGGGGGTGATGGGGGTGATGGGGGTGAAGGGGGTGATGGGGATGATGGGGGTGATGGGGGTGAAGGGGGTGATGGGGGTGATGGGGGTGATGGGGTTGATGGGGGTGATGGGAGTGATGGGGGTGATGGGGGTGAAGGGGGTGATGGGGATGATGGGGGTGATGGGGGTGACGGGGGTGATGGGGGTGATGGGGGTGATGGGGATGATGGGGGTGATGGGGGTGATGGGGGTGATGGGGGTGATGGGGGTGATGGGGTTGATGGGGGTGATGGGGGTGATGGGGGTGAAGGGGGTGATGGGGATGATGGGGGTGATGGGGGTGAAGGGGGTGATGGGGGTGATGGGGGTGATGGGGGTGATGGGGTTGATGGGGGTGATGGGGGTGATGGGGGTGATGGGGGTGAAGGGGGTGATGGGGATGATGGGGGTGATGGGGGTGATGGGGGTGATGGGGGTGATGGGGGTGATGGGGGTGATGGGGATGATGGGGGTGATGGGGGTGATGGGGGTGATGGGGGTGATGGGGGTAATGGGGGTGATGGGGGTGATGGGGGTGATGGGGGTGATGGGGGTGATGGGGATGATGGGGGTGATGGGGGTGATGGGGGTGATGGGGGTGATGGGGGTGATGGGGGTGATGGGGGTGATGGGGGTGATGGGGGTGATGGGGGTGAAGGGGGTGATGGGGGTGATGGGGGTGATGGGGGTGATGGGGATGATGGGGGTGATGGGGGTGATGGGGGTGATGGGGGTGATGGGGGTGATGGGGATGATGGGGGTGATGGGGGTGATGGGGGTGAAGGGGGTGATGGGGATGATGGGGGTGATGGGGGTGATGGGGGTGATGGGGGTGATGGGGGTGATGGGGGTGATGGGGATGATGGGGGTGATGGGGGTGATGGGGGTGATGGGGGTGATGGGGGTGATGGGGGTGAAGGGGATGATGGGGGTGATGGGGGTGATGGGGGTGATGGGGGTGATGGGGGTGATGGGGATGATGGGGGTGATGGGGGTGATGGGGGTGATGGGGGTGATGGGGGTGATGGGGGTGATGGGGGTGATGGGGGTGATGGGGGTGATGGGGGTGATGGGGATGATGGGGGTGATGGGGGTGATGGGGGTGATGGGGGTGATGGGGGTGATGGGGGTGATGGGGGTGATGGGGGTGATGGGGGTGATGGGGGTGAAGGGGGTGATGGGGGTGATGGGGGTGATGGGGGTGATGGGGATGATGGGGGTGATGGGGGTGATGGGGGTGATGGGGGTGATGGGGGTGATGGGGGTGATGGGGGTGATGGGGATGATGGGGGTGATGGGGGTGATGGGGGTGATGGGGGTGATGGGGGTGAAGGGGGTGATGGGGATGATGGGGGTGATGGGGGTGATGGGGGTGATGGGGGTGAAGGGGGTGATGGGGATGATGGGGGTGATGGGGGTGACGGGGGTGATGGGGGTGATGGGGGTGATGGGGATGATGGGGGTGATGGGGGTGATGGGGGTGATGGGGGTGATGGGGGTGATGGGGTTGATGGGGGTGATGGGGGTGATGGGGGTGAAGGGGGTGATGGGGATGATGGGGGTGATGGGGGTGAAGGGGGTGATGGGGGTGATGGGGGTGATGGGGGTGATGGGGTTGATGGGGGTGATGGGGGTGATGGGGGTGATGGGGGTGAAGGGGGTGATGGGGATGATGGGGGTGATGGGGGTGATGGGGGTGATGGGGGTGATGGGGGTGATGGGGGTGATGGGGATGATGGGGGTGATGGGGGTGATGGGGGTGATGGGGGTGATGGGGGTGATGGGGGTGAAGGGGATGATGGGGGTGATGGGGGTGATGGGGGTGATGGGGGTGATGGGGGTGATGGGGATGATGGGGGTGATGGGGGTGATGGGGGTGATGGGGGTGATGGGGGTGATGGGGGTGATGGGGGTGATGGGGGTGATGGGGGTGATGGGGGTGATGGGGATGATGGGGGTGATGGGGGTGATGGGGGTGATGGGGGTGATGGGGGTGATGGGGGTGATGGGGGTGATGGGGGTGATGGGGGTGATGGGGGTGATGGGGGTGAAGGGGGTGATGGGGGTGATGGGGGTGATGGGGGTGATGGGGGTGATGTGATGTGATGGGGTTGATGGGGGTGATGGGGGTGATGGGGGTGATGTGATGTGATGGGGGTGATGGTGGTGATGGGGGTGATGGGGGTGATGTGATGTGATGGGGGTGATGGCGGTGATGTGATGTGATGGGGGTGATGGGGGTGATGTGATGTGGCACCTTAGGGCGCGTCACGTTTAAATGAACGGCCTACTTTTCATAGTTTTTTCAAACAAGGGTACAGCTCGGTTGACAGTACCTGAAAGCGTACTGTACATTATGCGTGTCCCTCAAAGACCATGCTGCACGTTCACTGACATGCACAATATATACAGTATACTTACATGAAAGCGTACTGTACATTATGCGTGTCCCTCAAAGACCATGCTGCACGTTCACTGACATGCACAATATATACAGTATACTTACAAGCGAAACTATGAAAGGTTACAGAACGTTCGTGGACCAATCCCTTCCAATTAACCCTCACTCAACTTGTAACCACGTTACCTGTATTCTGTTGTTGACTGGTACGCGAGACGTCGGACGTATTTCCGCTGCATGGCTGTACGTACCATTGAAGCATAGCTGTAAGTTTCGAAACTGAACAGATTTTGAAACAGTGCCGCGTCAACTCTCTCATATCACTGTTTGTATCTGTTACCAGACAAAAGCGGGTAACTGATATGGAAAAAAAAAGGGTTTTCAGTTGACCAAGCACGATTTTTCGAAAATTCACGCCACATGCGCAGTTCCATCGCTTCTGGGGCAGGGTTACTGCCCGTTTTTCGTTTACAGCGCAGAGTTAGTGCTATCTCTACGCAGCTCGACGCTTATTGGTCTAAATCTCCAAAATCGACAAGCCTACTGTGTCAGAAAAAACAGTTTAACCCAGTCAAGTGTTTAACATTTTTCAAGCCCATATAGAGAGAGCATCAATCCTTAACACCCATTTGCATAGTGTTTAGGGTTGATGCCTCCCTGGATGGCAGCCATAAAATAATATAAAACCCAGTGTTTAGGGTTGATACTCCCTAAACACTTCCGCCCGGTGTTTAGGGTTGGTGCTCCCTAAACAGCATGCCATCTGAGAGGGTAATATATTTTTGTCTGCCCAAAATTCAGGTGCAAACGATTCGATGGCTGTCAATCCAAGCGGAGTTGTCGGTCCGTCGGCATTTTGACCAATGAAAACTTTACTACGTAGAAATCTCACTAACTCTGCGCTGTGATCGAAAACTGGGCAGTAACAGTGCGCCAGAAGCGACAGTGCTGCGCTTCTGGCGTATAGTTTCATTAACAATGCGGGGTCAACTAAAAACCCAAAATAAAACGAAAACTGTACCTGTTTCTTTAAACGTGACGCGCCCTTACAATACTTTACAACAACAGCCACTCCCCCCACTCCCGCGTGCACGGCTCACCAGGGACTCGGTTCACACACGCGGCTAGCTTTGCTCCCACCAGCGATGCTGCAAGCTTCTGCCCTGCAGAATGCAACCGAGAGCGCAGGAGAAAGGTGCGAGGAAGCTTTGACGGCAAGTAGCAGGGCCGAAAGGGGAAAGGGGTGAGGGGGTGAAGAATAAAGGGGGGTGAATGGATCAGCAGCATGAGAGAATAAAAGAATAAAACCACATGGAAGTTGCAACATACCTGTTTCCTTGTTGGGTACTGTGATATACACCACCACTGCATCACCCGCTCGCTCATCCGCCATCACTGCCCCCGCCCCTCCCGCTGCTGCTGCTGCTGCTGCTGCTGATGCTGCTGCCATCCCTCTTACTACCAAGCCAGGTGTCCGTGCGTTGGCGCCGGAAAGAAAATCAGATGCTGCAGGAGAGGAGGCGGAGGAGGAAGGGGCAGCCAGAAACAAACTGCCCAGGGAGAGGGAGAGGAAGAGGAGGAGGAGGAGGATAAGTGGGGAGTGGGAAGGAGTGGGGGGGTGAGCGGGTGTGAGAAAGGAGAGCGAGGAACGGAGGAGGATAAGGAAGGAGGACGGAGGAGAGGACCGGGTGTGGGTTGATGAGAAGGACGGTGGAGGCATGTCGTCGACTGAAGCTGATGCTGGTGTTGATGTTGACGACACCAGTGTTTCAGCAACTGTGCGTCTGCAATCACGCGCTATGATGCGAATCACATGGAAGATCAATGGGGACGAAAGGCACCCGCGGCGACGAGCCGGTGACAGCTCTCAGGCGTTGAGACGCCGCAAACGACGAGCTGACAGCGCTCACCTCGAAGCTCCTAGCCCTGCGCGACGCGAAACAGCGGCGCCTGCAACAGCAGCAGCAGCAGCCGAGACGCTCGACGAAGGCGAAGGCGAAAGGGAGGGCAACGGCGACGACGACGATGGGTTGAGGGAAGAATTATTCTGAGGCGACGGGGAGTGACGGGTAGAAAGGGTAAGCAGGGAAACATGGGAGAGAGAGAGAGAGAGGGTAAAAATTGATGACAAGAGCCGGAATGGAGGACACTAGCGGCTGCGACGAGCGGCGGAGCTACCACGAACGTCCAAGCGGCTGAAACCGCATGCGGGAAATTAGAGAAATTTCCGGAATGCAGTTCTTTCAGTCCGAGTCATAAACACGCCGCAAAAGTTGATACATACGTGAATGCGGTGCGCGGAGGGCTCGAAGGCGTGGCGCAGCAGCGGCCGCGTGGCGATGAGGCGGCTGCGAGAACGGAAGAGGGAGCAGTGACGAGGAGGAACGCGGGTAATGGAATGCGCGAGACTAGCAGCCATGGCGGATTGGAGGGGGGAAATTCATTCAACAGCCAGTGATTGACGCGCGGAACGGTTGGGCCAGTGAGGATTCTGGAGAATGCCTTCCTCGTTAGTGCATGGTTCAACTCCACCATGTGCGATTCAGGAGAACTCAAAAAGAAGCATTCTCTTGGACACCGTATAAACTACATAGCTATATCACTACGTTATTATACATTGGTTCATTAAACTCTGGAAACCACTCATAAACCACCGAACTACCATCAACATCATCTGTGTGCAATACCATCTCTACCCATTCAACACACTACACCATACCACACCACCATCAAGCCCTCCTATACACCTTCACTTGAATCCCGTCCACAGCAGCCATAGAAACGCCGAGCCTCAGGTTCGGAACCTCCTCCTGCATCTGCTTCTCGGAAAGGCGAAACAAAAAGCGCCGGTAAATCCGCACCACACCAATCATAAGCTGCTGAATCGCCAGCTTATACCCCAGGCACTTCCTCGGCCCCGCACCAAACGGAATATACGCACACGGCGGCCGATTCTCCCCAAGAGCCTCCCCCCCGGGAAGAAACCGCTCCGGCTTGAACGCGTCAGGCTCGGCAAAGAGGTTCGGGTCGTGGTGAATGCTGTACGCATCGACAAAGAAGCGCGTGCCCTTGGGAATGGCCCGGCCGTCGAGGGTTGTGTCAAAGGTTGCCTGGCGCGCGATGTTGGGCGCGGGTGGCACAATGCGGAGAGTCTCCTTGACCACGGCATCGGTGTAGGTGAAGAGATGTAGATCCTCGTAGCTTGGAAGCTTGTCTGGGATGGTCGTGTCCACCTCCTTCAGTAGCAGTGCTTCCACCTGGATGCATGGATTCATGGGTGCATGGCAGGAGTCAAGAGGAGAAGAGGAAAACGATTGTGAATTGACATACTCCGCAGGAAATATCCAGGAGAGAGGGAAAAAAAATGGAGGACGAAAGGAGGATAAATGGCAGGAGGACCAGGAAAGTAGCCACAAACAATCAGCTGAGAAACAATACATCTATCCACCCAGTCCACCCATCGTGTCCACGTGTCATCACCTGGGGGTTCTTGGCAACGTAGTAAACAATGAAGCCAAGAGTCGTAGCAGCAGTCTCAGAGCCAGCTAGAACCATCTCCATGGCCACAGCCTGCACCTGCTTCAGTGACAGCTTCGACCCGTCGTCCAGGCGGGTCTTGTTCGACAGCCATGATATGAAATCCGGCTTCTCCTTCTCCCGTTCCTCTCCCCCCACCACTGCCGCTGCTGCCTCTGCTGCTTGCGCTCCTGCAACGCTCTCTCCCCCTTCCGCACCAGCAGCAGCAGCAGCAGAAGCGCCCTCTGTCTGTGAACTTTCCCGGCAGGCGAGGACTGCAGCAGCGGTGTACTGCCTGGCGAGCCAGCCGGCGCGCTCGGGAGTGCCGGGAATGCACTCAAAAACACGGCGCACGAAGATGCCCAGAGGCAGATGGAACAGCTGCACTGGCGCCGACCACGGTGCTTTGCTGGTATGCCGAAGAAGGGAAAAGGTGAAATTTGGGGAGCGGACAGGGAGGAGGCCAAAGGAGAGCAGGAGAGGTGAGCAGGAAACGGGAACTGAAGAACATTGGGCTGGAGAGGTAAGCAAACATGCGCAGAGAGAGGCAGAGATAAGCGGAGATAAGCGGAACAAGGCGCAGATAGGCAGAGATGGGGTGGGAGGTCAAGGGAAGGAGGACATGGCGGACAAGAGGGAAACTATTATGGAAGTTTACTTGAGACATCAGTATTATGGAAGTTGAGAGTCATGCACACTCACCTCCCCGAGATGTTGAACTGCTCGAGAATGGTCTGCAGCGCGTCAGCCAGCTTGCCACCATCGTACGTGGAGAAGCGACGACCAAACACAGCAGACCCCACCACATCCACCGACGCATGGTGGAACAGGGGCGACACATCCACATACCCACCACCCTCCTCACTCTCCCCACTCGCCCCAATCCTTCCCTCCATCCTCCCTGGGACCTCTGCTGCCCGCTTTGCTGCTGGGCCGACCTCTTTCTCAGGGCTCGTATCCTGCGCTGCTGCTGCCATGCCCTTTCCAGCCCACACAGTCTCTGGCAAGTCGCTCTGAGGTGTGCTCTCAGGCTCAGCCAGAGTGGCTGCATGCGCTGGTTCGAGTGCAGGAGAGGTGGGCTCCAACGGCGGTGGAGGGGACGCCGGTGGCTCTGCCAGTGGGGATGCTTCGCCCTCTTCTGTCTCGCGCTTCTGGGGCTTCAGTGCCTGCGGCTGCAGCTGCTGCTGCTGGGATGGTGAGGTTGCGAGTGATCCCTGGGCGAGACTGTCGAGCTTACCTGTGATACATGCACGCAAGCACACATGGACACGCCCGCATGCACGCACGCCGCAGCACACGCCCAATACAGGCGCACATGCACACACAACACAATCACCCACAAGGACACACACATGCAGCACGTGTAGACGGGAAGAGATTACTATGGTAAGCAGCAGCGATGGGACCTTCTCAAATCCCCATGAACCATGGGTGGTGGAGTCATCATCTCTCAGAAACAGCACGTTTCTAAACCATAGCGGTTTCAAATCAAAACCCAGTCCCAACATATGGTCACCACTCATACTTCCAGCACCCACAAAGAGCAGGGCCCCAAGGCAATTGCCCCAAGGGTACCACCACTCACGGGGCAACATGTTGCTCTAGAGGGTTCCACTCAATCACAGCGCAGCTCAATAAGAAGAATGAATGATGAAGAATGAATGAGAAGAATGACTCACGGAGCAGGTCGTCCATGCACTCGTTCATGAGCGGCGAGTAGCTCGCGAGGCGCGACGAGTGGAACAGCGGCACCACGGCGGCGCGCACGCGGCGCCAGTAGTTGCCCTTGCCAAAGATGATCTTATCAGCCGTGAACTCATTCGGCGTCAGCTCAAACCGATCATGGAACGCGTCGAAGCGCCGCTCGCACACCTCCCGCGCGAGCTCGGGCGATGAGACGATCACCATGGGGTGCGGTCCCATCATGTACTTGTAGAGAGCGCCGTACTGCCGCGCCCATTCCATGTGGCATATGTGGAACTCGCGGGTGGCTATGTCTGGGATGTTGCCGACTAGGAAGCGGGACGGCGGGCCTGGGATGTGGCGGAGGCGGCGCGCGGGGGAGGTGATGAGGCGGAAGAGGAGGAAGAGGAGGAGCGCGTAGACGGATGTGAGGAGGAGGGTGTAGAGGAAGGGTGGCGAGAGGAGGTAGTTGGCCGCTGGGAGGAGGCGCGAGGGGAGGACGCGCGTGGTGATGACGTGAGAGAGGGAGGAGACGGGATGCGCGAGAGACGGCGGGAGGGACGGGAAGAGGGAGAAGAGTGGGGAGAGGAGCGGGGAGAGGAGGGCAGAGAGGGCGCGGAAGGCGGGGAAGGGGGAGAAGTTGCGGGGGGACGGGTAGGAATTGGCGAGGGAGGTGAGGAAGGAGGAGATGGCGCCTCGAGCTCCACTGGCCGCCATGTCCGCGGAGGCGAAGAGGCCTTCCGCCATGGCGACGGAGTCGTGGTTGTGCGCGCGGCCCGCACTGGTTCACGTCTTCTTCACTCTTATGACTTCAAGGCGCCGTGAATCTGCACGAGATCTCTTAACCGTAACCGGATTCCTCCCTTCGTACCAACTTACGGGCGAACGCTGCTTGCTGGAGCCGACCGGACTGGCATAACTAATTATTTAATGCTTGCTCAGTGACTTCGAAATTCCAGGATTGAGGTGGTGAGATGAGATTTATGGCGCAGGCAGGGAGCCTCGTCCAATCGACAAGCACGAGAGGACGACGGACGACGAGTGACGCGAACGTAGCGAAGAGCACGGTAAGGCTAGCGCCGCACACACCACGCGGGTTCGAAATGTGAATGAATGAACCCAGCAATGCCGAGGCTGCTGTCGAGGCCGCTTGAGAGACGGAGGCTGGGGCGGAGGAGGGGGGCTGGAAGAGCAGGGACGTGCTCGAGCGTCTAGCCGGTACAGAAGCGGTGCCTCTGGTGTAGCCTGGCGCAGTCTGGCGCAGCATAAGGTCGCGGTGTTCCTCTGTCTGAGCGCACGCGCAGGGAAAAGCCGAGTGTCCACGCGGGTCTGCATGTGAGCACTGCGACGCTGACGTCACGAGCAGCGTCGCACGGTGTGGTATGAGCGATGCATGGCGGTGGGAAGCGCAGCGACGGTGAATGCACTGCCACGTACGCGAGGAGCGTCGTATGAATCATCCAAGAGAACGATGCTATGGGGATGGGATGGGCCCAAGCTTGCGAAGATTGCGGGGAGGCGTGCGCTTTCGACACTCGCTGCGCGAGCGGAGATGCAGTATACGGCTGCATGTCGAATGCGAAGCCGATGGGTAGGTAGTAAGGGTAGGGGAGAGTAAGGGACGTGACGTGAGCGTGCATGTGTGCGCTGTGAGGCTCGCTAAGCAGCGAGCGAGCCGGGCGGATCAAGCGGTTTGGTAGGCCCGAGTCGTGGTACTTTCTAAGTTGCGATGATGCGATTCGACAGGAAAGTACGACATTGTTTGTGAAGTACTGCATGTGAAGAGTCTGGCCGAGGTCGGGGTTGCAGCGTTGGGCTCATCGATAGTGTGAGAGAGCACGGCAGTATTGCACCCGCTGCTAGGGGTTCTGCCGTTCTTCAGCGCGGTGGAGATGGTTTACTGTCGGTTTCTCAATTCGCCTTCTGGTTTCACTGTGGATGTATAGATTAATTTTGTGTGTTTCATCCAAAGAAAATATAAATTGCCTTACATCTGCAACATCTCCAAAGAAAAAAAATGAACGCGGTACATCTGCAACCATGATTCCACAACTGAGTTGCCACGTTCCCAATATCGAGTACGGAAATGTCACCACCATTGATGTTGGCCCCACTCGCTTCCACACACCACCACCATCCATCACTCTTCGCCCATTTCTCATTCGCTGTTCCTTTCCCCTAATCACAAGCCGCCTCATTAGTTCCCGCTGCTCCGCTATACAGGGACTCAGCATAACTTCGTAATGCGGACAATCTCGGGAAAATCCCCTTAAGCGTCCTTGTTGGTCCGCATTGGCCATGTCAGGTAGACGTAGCGGCCTGTCTGGCCTCTCATCATCCGACAAATCCGACAGTGCCGCGTCGAAGCGCGGCGACGATGACGATCGCGACAGGGACAGAGACGTGGATAGCGATTCGCGATCCAGGAGCGGCGCCGCCAGCGCTGGAAGAAGCGGCGGTCGCGGCGGGTCCGGGGAGAAGGAACGCGACAGCGGCGGCGGCGGCGGCGGCGGAAAGGGCGGAGGAGCGATGGTGCTGTTTCAGAACGTGGGCGGCTCGGTGACGTTTCTACTGCAGATCGCGCTGCTAGCGTGGGGCATACGGCAGCTGCGCAGCGTGCTCGCGAAGCGGCGGGAAACGCGCCAGCGCAATCAGGGCAGCAGCGCAGGCGCCTCCCCCGCCTTCGCCTCGCTCTCCCCGCTCGCCGCGCTCATGATGGCGGGGTGGACGGGGGAAAGCGGGGGCGCAAGCGGCGGAGCAGGCGCAGGGGGGGCGGGGAGCAGCAGCGCGGGCGGAGCAGGAATGGGGGCTGGCGCTTCCACTCCAAGCCACACTGCGGCTGGAAACGGGGCAGGCGGGGTCGCGGGGGAGATTGGCGCAGGGAGGATAGGCGCAGGGGGGGAGGATGGGGGAGTGGCGGAGGCGGGAGGTGTGACACCAAGAGCAGCAGCAGTGGGGGGAGCTGAAGCAGGGGCAGCGTCCGGAGGGGAGGGAGGATGGGGGGGCAGAAATGCGGTGGTGGTGCCTCACGTGGTGATAGATGTGCGGGCGAGGGATTTGGCTAAGAGCCAGCCCATCCCGCTGCCGTCCCCGCATGTTCTCAACATACCAGGTCAGTCGGTCAGTGGTCCGTCCGTCCACCCGTGCAACATCATGACCTGCCTGCTGCTCCTCCTCCATTGTCCGACTCCCCTGCTCCCCTTTTCGCCGCGCTCTGCTACTCCCCACCTCCACGTCCTGCGTCCTGTTCTGCTCCTTGTTCACCCATTCACACCCCATTCCCCCTTCCCGCCTCTCCCCTCTCCCCCATCCCCTCCCTCCTACTTCCAGAGAGCGACCTGCTACAGGCGCTGCAGCTGCCAGCAGCGGCATGGGAGCACCTTTTTCACGAAAACTCTTGAGTCGTCTCAAAACTCTCCACTCCCACTCCCCCTTTCCCCTGTTTCCCCCGTCCCCCTTCCCCTCCCCACCCGCAGAGAGCGATCTGTTACAGGCGTTGCAGCTGCCAGCAGCAGCCTGGGAACACCGCTTCCACAACACCTTGTGAGGCCTCTCAAAACTCTCCACTCCCCGCTCTCCCTTCTCCTGTGTTCCCCCATCACCCCTCCCCTCCCCCGCCACCAGAGAGCGATCTGCTTCAGGCGCTGCAGCTGCCAGCAGCGGCGTGGGAGCACCGGTTCCACGACACGCGCCAGCCGGACCGCCGCCACCTGCTGCTCTTCCTCTCCTCGCACGGCAACTCCGCGCAGCGCGCCGCCACAGTCGCCGCCTCCCTCGGATACACCCGCTCCTGCGTGCTCTCCGGGGGGCTAGACGCCCTCAAGAAGTTTCTTGCTGCTTCCGCTGCTGCTGGTGCCCCTGCACCGTCGCCTTCGGGTGGGGGTCTGGGCGGAGGGGGAGGAGGCGGGGGAGCGGGAGGAGGAGGAGTAGGGGATGCTGGGTTGGCCACAACCCCTTTGGCTCATTCTCACTCATCCGCCGCTGCCGCTGCCGCTGCTGCTGTTGCTGCCCTAGGCTCGTCCTCCTCGGCGTTGTCGACCGTGCCCTCTGCATCGGCGGCTGCAGCGCCGTTCCACTGGATACCATCCACAGCAGTGTCAGTGAAGAACATATCTCGGGATGCTGTGGCGCTGCTGCTCGCACGCAAGGGAGGGCAGTACCCCCACACGCTCATCCTCCAGTCCAGACCTGCCCCGCCCTCCGCTGCCCCTCTTCCTCCCCTTGCTTCTTCCTCTGTCGCTGCTGTAACCCCCGCTGCTGCTCACCATCCTGCTTCTGCTTCTGCCGCTGCCTCTGCCTCTGCTGCTGCCTCTGCTGCGTCTGCTGCTGCTGATTCTGCCAACGTTCAGGGAGGTGGTGGTGCTGGGGTGGGGGGAGGGGAGGAGCGTGGGGTGCGAGAGGAGGGTGGGGAGAGGAGGGAGAATGGAGTAGCCGAGGGTTTGGAGGCGAGGGAATACGCAGGGACGGATGGGGAAGGACGCGGGGCAGATGGGCAGGGTGGGGGAGAGGGGGGCGGGAGAGCAGGAGGGGAAGGCGATGGAGGTTCAGGGGCAGGCGGAAATCGGGGTGACGAAGATGGAGGGGTAGTGGAAGGCAGAGGGGAGGCAGGTAGAGAGAGGGATGGAGAGAGGGATGGAAGGGGGGGTGAAGCAGAGGGGAACGGGACGGGGGCAGAAGCACAGGGAGGGGGAGGAGTGGGGCGGGTGGTGTGGGAGGAGGTGGGAGGAGGCAAGCCGTGGTTCTACTTGGTTGATGTGAGACGGTTCGATGAGCGTGTGCTGTATGGAGGGATACCTGGCTCCGTGCACATACCAGGTGAGGTTCATGATATGATTCATGCATGATGCAATGCAGCTATCCGTGCATCCATGCATGCAGCCATCCGTGCAGCCATCTTTACACCAGCTGCTTGAGCCTTGCACACAGTCGACACACCCCACCCCAGGCCACTTCACCGCTTTTCCCTCATCCCTCTCCTCTGCTCATCCACCCGACGCCTTCTCATTCCTTTCCGATCCCTTCTCTCCCTGCTCCTTGCTGTCACTGCCACCTGTCATCCACCCCCACGGTGCTGCACTGGCCAAATTCCGAGCCGACTGAAAAGTCACTTACCCCTTGTGTGGCTGCTCGTTGTTGTGCCTGTCATGTCTGTCACTCACCCCCACTGCGCTGCTGCGCTGGCCGTATATGGCCATGGGAGCAGCGGAGGTGTGGCCAGTGGCACTGTCACTGGGCGAGGAGGCATGGAAGCAGCGCTACCAGTGGCCCAAGATGGAGCCCCATTCCCTGCTCATCCTCCACTGTATGCACGCTCCTCCCTGCCTGCTTATTCCTCACTCTCACCTCCTCCCTCCTCACTTGTCACTCTCCTGCCGGCTGTCCGGCCGTGCCGCCTGTCCTGCCGCCTCTCTCACCAGATATCATGCTGCGTGCTGCATGCTGTATTGTATCATCGCGGCTTTGTCCTCAAAGGTGTATGACGGTGACCGTCGTCTTGTGGCCCCTTCGTCTTAGTCCACCACTCCTCCCTTCCATCCACCCATCCCTCTCCCTCTCTCGCCCCAACTTCCCCTCCCTCGCCCTCGCCCTCTCCTCTACCTCGCAGCCAACACGGGACCTCGAGCATATTGGGCTGCACAAGTGGCACGAGATGCAGGCTACAACAGGTGATTCAGTTCAGTCTCAGGTGATTCAGGTGCTTCTTTCTCAGGTGAATTCTTCTCAGGTGTTTCATCTCAGGTAAGTTGTCCTCGGGTGGTTCAACTCAGGCGAGTCCCTTTCACGTGTTTCCATCTTAGGTGGCATGGGCTCCATGGGTGAATAGTTCGAGTCACCTATGCTGCTGCCACAATGCACGGCTGCTGCAGCTTCCACTCTGTGCTGCTGCTATGTGTTTCCCCGCGTCGCCTCTCGCCGCTTGCATCCCCCTCTCTCTTCCCATTCACACATCCCTCTATGCCCCTCCCTATCCCCATCCCCATCCTCATCCCCATCCCCATCCCCATCCCCATCCCCATCCCCATCCCCATCCCCATCCCCATCCCCATCCCCATCCCCATCCGTATCCCCATCCTCATCCCCATCCCCATCCCCATCCCCATCCCCATCCCCATCCCCATCCCCATCCCCATCCCATCCCCATCCCCATCCCCATCCCCATCCCCATCCCATCCTCATCCCCATCCCCATCCCCATCCCCATCCCCATCCCCATCCCCATCCCCATCCCCATCCCCATCCCCATCCCCATCCCCATCCGTATCCCCATCCTCATCCCCATCCCCATCCCCATCCCCATCCCCATCCCCATCCCCATCCCCATCCTCATCCCCATCCCCATCCCCATTCCCCATCCTCATCCCCATCCTCATCCCCATCCCCATCCCCATCCCCATCCCCATCCCCATCCGTATCCCCATCCTCATCCCCATCCCATCCCCATCCCCATCCCCATCCCCATCCCCATCCCCATCCCATCCCATCCCATCCCCATCCCCATCCCCATCCGTATCCCCATCCTCATCCCCATCCCATCCCCATCCCCATCCCCATCCCCATCCCCATCCCCATCCCATCCCCATCCCCATCCCCATCCCCATCCCCATCCGTATCCCCATCCTCATCCCCATCCCCATCCCCATCCCCATCCTCATCCCCATCCCCATCCCCATCCCCATCCCCATCCCCATCCCCATCCCCATCCCCATCCTCATCCCCATCCCCATCCCCATCCCCATCCCCATCCCATCCTCATCCCCATCCCCATCCCCATCCCCATCCCCATCCCCATCCCCATCCCCATCCCATCCTCATCCCCATCCCCATCCCCATCCCCATCCCCATCCTCATCCCCATCCCATCCTCATCCCCATCCCCATCCCCATCCCATCCTCATCCCCATCCCCATCCCCATCCCCATCCTCATCCCCATCCCATCCTCATCCCCATCCCCATCCCCATCCCATCCCCATCCCCATCCCAATCCCCATCCCCATCCCATCCCCATCCTCATCCCCATCCCCATCCTCATCCCCATCCTCATCCCCCTCCCCACCCCTGCATCTGGTCGCACAGGTGCTTTGTGATGCGAGAGGGCACACACGGGTGGCGCCTGCACCCCTCTGTCTGTGTCTATGACGACTATCTCGAGGTACTTGTCCGCTTCTTCTCCCCTTCTCTCCTGCTCTCCTGCTCCCCTTCTCTCCTGCTCTCCTGCTCCCCTTCTCTCCTGCTCTCCTGCTCCCCTTCTCTCTCCTGCTCCCCTTCTCTCCTGCTCTCCTGCTCCCCTTCTCTCCTGCTCTCCTGCTCCCCTTCTCTCCTGCTCTCCTGCTCCCCTTCTCTCCTGCTCTCCTGCTCCCCTTCTCTCCTGCTCTCCTGCTCCCCTTCTCTCCTGCTCTCCTGCTCCCCTTCTCTTCTGCTCTCCTGCTCCCCTTCTCTCCTGCTCTCCTGCTCCCCTTCTCTCCTGCTCTCCTGCTCCCCTTCTCTCCTGCTCTCCTGCTCCCCTTCTCTTCTGCTCTCCTGCTCCCCTTCTCTCCTGCTCTCCTGCTCCCCTTCTCTCCTGCTCTCCTGCTCCCCTTCTCTCCTGCTCTCCTGCTCCCCTTCTCTTCTGCTCTCCTGCTCCCCTTCTCTCCTGCTCTCCTGCTCCCCTTCTCTCCTGCTCTCCTGCTCCCCTTCTCTCCTGCTCTCCTGCTCCCCTTCTCTCCTGCTCTCCTGCTCCCCTTCTCTTCTGCTCTCCTGCTCCCCTTCTCTCCTGCTCTCCTGCTCCCCTTCTCTCCTGCTCTCCTGCTCCCCTTCTCTCCTGCTCTCCTGCTCCCCTTCTCTTCTGCTCTCCTGCTCCCCTTCTCTCCTGCTCTCCTGCTCCCCTTCTCTCCTGCTCTCCTGCTCCTCTTCTCTCCTGCTCTCCTGCTCCCCTTCTCTCCTGCTCTCCTGCTCCCCTTCTCTTCTGCTCTCCTGCTTCTTCACCTCCCCTCTGCACCTTCTTGTGCCACAACACGCCTTGTGTCTACCATGCCTGCCACGCACCACCCCTCCCAACCCTCTCCCTCTCTATTTCCCCCTCTTCCTCTCTCTTCTTCCCTCCATCCTTCCATCCCCACATGGCCTGCGGGTGGAGCAGGGGGGAGTGCCACCAGCACCGCAGTCATTTGCAGTGGAAGCAGTGGATGAGGGCATGGCAGAGCAGCAGCTCAGGCTGCTCCCTCACTGTTCCCCCCTCTTCATCTTCCTCCGTCCCTCCTTACCCCCCTCCCTCCGTCCATGCATGCCCTACCTGTGGAGCAGGGGGGAGTGCCACCAGCACCGCAGTCGTTTGCAGTGGAAGCAGTGGATGAGGGCATGGCAGAGCAGCAGCTCAGGCTGCTCGGAATTGCACTCTGACTCGCATGAAGTCCATGCTCGCTCGCTCGCTTGCACACCTGCTACTGTTTGGCTGCTGCCGCTACTGCAGTAGGTGCTGCTGCCACTGCTGCTGCTTCGGCTGCTGCTGCTCCCCATGTTGCTCCAACGATGTTGCTTTGCCAGCTGTAAACAGTGACCACGACCGCTGCCGACTCGTTCAGACTCCTGCAACACGTGGCTGCTAGCTTGAAATCGGTTCTCGCACACTGGCACTAATTCTAAACTTGAATCAACAACTCCAGGAGAAAAGTTGCTATACAGAGAATAAACTAAGTACACTACAGTAGCTACGGCTGTGCATGGAAGCAAATTCTGTAGAGGTGTAATGTAGGTGACAATGTAGTACCAGCAATTATTGTTTACTGTAGTGTGCTAAGGTGTGTTAGCCAGCTCCTCGCCTTCCCACCCAGTGAGAACAATTAATATTCATTGGCCATAATGACATAAAACATGGTCCAATAAACCCAACCCACGGTAGTCAAACCGAGCAAGAAGCAACATGCATCAAGAACTAAACTACTCAGCATCAGCAGCATTGAGACATGAGGCTGTGTGCAGGGCAGTGCACACCCTCCAGCAGTCTCCCCTCCACCCCTCCTCCCCCTCCGTCCCCTCCCTCCCCTCCTCCCCCTCCGTCCCCTCCGTCCCCTCCGTCCCCTCCTCCCCTCCTCCCCTCCTCCATGTCCCAATAACCAACACACCCAGCGCATCATATCATCGTCCCAGATGTCATTCCGAACTGAGTCACAACTCACGAGTCAAGTTAAACCATCACCTGGCTGCTCGCTTGGGCAGCGCTGGACGATGCCTGCCCCGACTGCCCTGCTACTCCTCCCGCCTCTGCTGCCATTACCAAATCCCCTGACCCTTGTTGCTGCTGCATTTGCTGCTGCTGCTGCTGTTGCTGCTGTGCGAGAATCTGTTGCATGGCCATTTGTTGCAGCACCTGCTGGGGCTGGGGGTATTGCCAAGGAAAGAGTGTGCGCACGATGCCGTGACATGCCGGGAGGGATGGTAGAAAGATGAGAAGATGAAAAGTTGAGAGGATGAGAAGATGAGAAGATGGGAAGATGGGAAGAGCTTCGCAGAGCAGCAGGAAAGAGGCAGGGCGGAGCAACCAGGGAAGGAACGCGAAGCAGAGAGACGGGAGAGTCAAGAGAAAGAAAAGAGAATACTCACCCCCCATGACCCTGTCCGCAACTCAGCTCTATACCAACAATGGCCTGGTTACCAGCACCCATCGATCTTCTCATCATCGCTAGACAGACCAAACCCAGCAACCCACTCAGATGCAGCAGGCAACCGAATACAGGAGGGGGCTACAAGAGGCCAATTGGAAGGGAGGAAGGCAGGCGGGGGATGCGAAGCCGATTCAGGTGAAGAGAAAAAAAGAAGACCCGGTGCAGCGCGTGCAGGGTACGGGGCGGGGGTACCTGCTGTGTCTGTTGCTGCGCCTGCACCTGCGGCTGCTCCTGCGTCCATGCGAGGGACGCCTGGCTCATGCGGTAATACGGCTCCTTGAGGTCCAGCTTGCCGCTCGATGTCTGCAACACGCCCCCCACTGTGCCGTCTGGGCTCCATGCATGGGCTGCCAAGCGCGTAAAGGGGGGTTTGAGATAAGGGGGAAGGGGAAGGGGAAGGGGAAGGGGAAGGGGAAGGGGAAGGGGAAGGGGAAGGGGAAGGGGAAGGGGAAGGGGAAGGGGAAGGGGAAGGGGAAGGGGCGGACAAGGGCTCCTTGAGGTCCAGCTTGCCACTGGATGACTGCAACACGCCCCCCACTGTGCCGTCTGGGCTCCACGATGGGCTGACAACGCGTTTGGGGGTGGGCATGGGTTTATTGTTATTTTTTTAATGGGGGGGAAGGGGAGAGGGAACGGCAGAGGCGGAAAGAAACGGAAAGTGGTGTATGGAACAAGAGATTGGAACAGCGATTCCGATAAGGTAGTTTCTGCCTTAAACCGGGTGGGCAAGCTTGCAAGCTTGCCCTTCCACCGTGTGCTGCTGCTGTTGCTGTTGCTGCTGCGATCAAGGGGACAGTTGAAACAGCAAGATGCCCTCTCATAGAGAAAAGCGCAGGGAGGAGGCGAAGGAAGAGAGAGGGGGCGGGAGGGGAGGACAGTGCAGGAAGATGGACAGCATGAGGGCAGCGAGGAAAGGAAGGAGGAGGGAGCGGGGCAGAGAGGGCGCTTACTGGAGAGGGCGAGGTGGATGGTGTAGCTCTGCACGCTGTGTGCAACGAGTTTTGAGGGGCCTTTTGAGTCGACTCAAAAGTCAGCTCTGCACGCTGCGTGCTACGAGTATTGAGGGGCCTCAAGAATCACTTACTGGAGAGGGTGAGGTGGATGGTGTAGCTCTGTGCGCTGTGTGCAACGAGGTGCAGGCGGCCTGTGATGACTTATGAGGCGCCTCAGAAGGAGAGGGCACTCACTGGAGAGGGTGAGGTGGATGGTGTAGCTCTGCGCGCTGTGTGCAACGAGGTGCCGGCGGCCTGTGATGACTTATGAGGCGCCTCAGAAGGAGAGGGCACTCACTGGAGAGGGTGAGGTGGATGGTGTAGCTCTGCGCGCTGTGTGCAACGAGGTGCAGGCGGCCTGTGATGAGCTGGCCGGCAAAGACGTAGAGCGGCTGTGCCAGCACACAGCGCAGCTGGTACCAGTGCGTTGTGGGCGCCCCTGGCGCTGTTGATAACCACCTCTGCACCACACTGGAGGACAGAGGCCGACCGGCAGGCGGGCGGGCGGGAAAGCAGGCAGGTGGGCAGGGGCGGGCAGACAGATACAGGGAGAGAGGAAGAGGGAGAGTGAAAGGTGGGCAAATGAGCAGGTGGGCAGGTGTGCACACGTGGAGAGTACATTCGTTAGGAGTCGTCTGAAAGCAGGAGGGCGCACGCACGCACGCACCTGCCGCTGAAGAGCACATCGAACCAGCATGCAAGGCCGTGCAGGCGGGCCGCCATGGTGGACTTGAAGGACAGCGGTATGTCCAAGTCGAATAACTCGCCCTCCTGGTGTGGCCACACACATGCATACACGTGCATACACGTGCACGCACATGCACACATGCCCACATGCATACACGTGCACGCACATGCACACATGCCCACATGCATACACGTGCACGCGCATGCACACATGCCCACATGCATACACGTGCACGCACATGCACACATGCCCACATGCATACACGTGTACACACATGCACACATGCCCACATGCATACACGTGCACGCATGCACACATGCCCACATGCATACACGTGTACACATGCACACATGCCCACATGCATACACGTGCACGCACATGCACACATGCCCACATGCATACACGTGCACGCACATGCCCCCATGCCCACACGCAGACGCGCAGGCATGCACACAAGCGAAGAGGCGAAGGATATTAGTGTGAGGTGTCACAACGGAAAGGCAGTCAAAGACAACAGAACTGATGCGGGTCGACATAGAGGCAGGCACGGAGAGGCAAGGAGGTGCAAGGAGGGGAGGAGGGAAGGGGGGGAGGGTGTCCGAGGGCGGCAAGACGAAGGAAGGTTGGGGGAAAGGGCGGGAGCAGGGGGGAGGGGGATAAGAGCGTGGTGGTGGCGGTGGGGGGAGAGGTGGGGGGAGGGGCGGGGGGGAGCGGCAGAGGGAGCGGCGGAGGGAGGGGCGGGTTCGGGGGCGGGGGCGCACCTGAATGGTGCTGAAGTCGATGGAGTGCGCTGTGCTGGGCGCGATGAGGATGCGCGGATCAAACGCATCCACCACCGGCTGCCATGCCATGCCATGCCATGGGGGGCGTGGGGGGCGTGGGGGGCGTGGGGGGCGTGGGGGGCATGTCGTGCAGGGGGGAGGGAGAGTGCGGGACGGGGAAGGGGAGGGGGAGGGAGAGGGGGAGAGGTGGGGATGTGGGAAGCGTGAGGAGTGGGTACGAGGTGCAAGGAGGCGAGTGGGTTCTTTTGAGTTGACTCAAAAGTCACCTCGTTACTATGGCACACGACATTTTTTTAGTCGACTCAAAAGTCACCTCGTTACTATGGCACACGACATTGTTTGAGTCGACTCAAAAGTCACCTCGTTACTATGGCACACGACATTTTTTGAGTCGACTCAAAAGGAAGCGTGAAGAGTGGGTACGAGGTGCAAGGAGGCGAGTGGTGAAGGTGAAGAGGCGGCTGGCTGCGTGCTCTCACAAGCTTTTGAGAGGCAAGCGTTTGTGTGCCTCAGAAGGCGCTTCAGAAGGCGCCTGAGAAGGCTGCGTGCTCTGACAGCAGCATCGGGCAGCAAGCAAGGCATGGGCGGGCGTAGGCGGGCGCGGGCGGGCGCGGGCGCGCACCTGGGCAAAGTAGCCGTTGAGCGCGTCCCCATGCAGGGGCGTGAGGTCCACACCGTAGTAGCTGCGCTGCTGCCAGAAGAGCGCCTGCGGTGAGTGGATGCAGAGACGAGCGGACAAACGCGGAGGAGCAGGGGGAGGGAGAGAGGGGGGGTGGGGAGTAAGGGGGAGAGGAGAGGGCGTGGAAGTGGAGGGGAGAGAAGCGCATGGCGGAGGAGAGTAGAGCAGTGACGGTTGTGATGAGGCATGCGTGTAAGACAGACAGAGGGCGGTACGTGATGGCGGCATGTGATGGCGGCATGTGATGGCAGCATGTGATGGCGGCATGTGATGGCGGCATGTGATGGCGGCATGTGATGGCGGCATGTGATGGCGGCATGTGATGGCGGCATGTGATGGCGGCATGTGATGGCGGCATGTGATGGCGGCATGTGATGGCGGCATGTGATGGCGGCATGTGATGGCGGCATGTGATGGCGGCATGTGATGGCGGCATGTGATGGCGGCATGTGATGGCGGCATGTGATGGCGGCATGTGATGGCGGCATGTGATGGCGGCATGTGATGGCGGCATGTGATGGCGGCATGTGATGGCGGCATGTGATGGCGGCATGTGATGGCGGCATGTGATGGCGGCATGTGATGGCGGCATGTGATGGCGGCATGTGATGGCGGCATGTGATGGCGGCATGTGATGGCGGCATGTGATGGCGGCATGTGATGGCGGCATGTGATGGCAGCATGTGATGGCGGCATGTGATGGCGGCATGTGATGGCGGCATGTGATGGCGGCATGTGATGGCGGCATGTGATGGCGGCATGTGATGGCGGCATGTGATGGCGGCATGTGATGGCGGCATGTGATGGCGGCATGTGATGGCGGCATGTGATGGCGGCATGTGATGGCGGCATGTGATGGCGGCATGTGATGGCGGCATGTGATGGCGGCATGTGATGGCGGCATGTGATGGCGGCATGTGATGGCGGCATGTGATGGCGGCATGTGATGGCGGCATGTGATGGCGGCATGTGATGGCGGCATGTGATGGCGGCATGTGATGGCGGCATGTGATGGCGGCATGTGATGGCGGCATGTGATGGCGGCATGTGATGGCGGCATGTGATGGCGGCATGTGATGGCGGCATGTGATGGCGGCATGTGATGGCGGCATGTGATGGCGGCATGTGATGGCGGCATGTGATGGCGGCATGTGATGGCGGCATGTGATGGCGGCATGTGATGGCGGCATGTGATGGCGGCATGTGATGGCAGCATGTGATGGCGGCATGTGATGGCGGCATGTGATGGCAGCATGTGATGGCAGCATGTGATGGCAGCATGTGATGGCAGCATGTGATGGCAGCATGTGATGGCAGCATGTGATGGCGGCATGTGATGGCGGCATGTGATGGCGGCATGTGATGGCGGCATGTGATGGCGGCATGTGATGGCAGCATGTGATGGCAGCATGTGATGGCGGCATGTGATGGCAGCATGTGATGGCAGCATGTGATGGCGGCATGTGATGGCGGCATGTGATGGCGGCATGTGATGGCGGCATGTGATGGCGGCATGTGATGGCAGCATGTGATGGCAGCATGTGATGGCAGCATGTGATGGCAGCATGTGATGGCAGCATGTGATGGCAGCATGTGATGGCAGCATGTGATGGCAGCATGTGATGGCAGCATGTGATGGCAGCATGTGATGGCAGCATGTGATGGCAGCATGTGATGGCAGCATGTGATGGCAGCATGTGATGGCGGCATGTGATGGCGGCATGTGATGGCGGCATGTGATGGCGGCATGTGATGGCGGCATGTGATGGCGGCATGTGATGGCAGCATGTGATGGCAGCATGTGATGGCAGCATGTGATGGCAGCATGTGATGGCAGCATGTGATGGCGGCATGTGATGGCAGCATGTGATGGCAGCATGTGATGGCAGCATGTGATGGCAGCATGTGATGGCAGCATGTGATGGCAGCATGTGATGGCAGCATGTGATGGCAGCATGTGATGGCAGCATGTGATGGCAGCATGTGATGGCAGCATGTGATGGCAGCATGTGATGGCAGCATGTGATGGCAGCATGTGATGGCAGCATGTGATTGGCAGCATGTGATGGCAGCATGTGATGGCAGCATGTGATGGCAGCATGTGATGGCAGCATGTGATGGCAGCATGTGATGGCAGCATGTGATGGCAGCATGTGATGGCAGCATGTGATGGCAGCATGTGATGGCAGCATGTGATGGCAGCATGTGATGGCAGCATGTGATGGCAGCATGTGATGGCAGCATGTGATGGCAGCATGTGATGGCAGCATGTGATGGCAGCATGTGATGGCAGCATGTGATGGCAGCATGTGATGGCAGCATGTGATGGCAGCATGTGATGGCAGCATGTGATGGCAGCATGTGATGGCAGCATGTGATGGCAGCATGTGATGGCAGCATGTGATGGCAGCATGTGATGGCAGCATGTGATGGCAGCATGTGATGGCAGCATGTGATGGCAGCATGTGATGGCAGCATGTGATTGGCAGCATGTGATGGCAGCATGTGATGGCAGCATGTGATTGGCAGCATGTGATGGCAGCATGTGATGGCGGCATGTGATGGCGGCATGTGATGGCGGCATGTGATGGCAGCATGTGATGGCAGCATGTGATGGCAGCATGTGATGGCAGCATGTGATGGCAGCATGTGATGGCAGCATGTGATGGCAGCATGTGATGGCAGCATGTGATGGCGCATGTGATGGCAGCATGTGATGGCGGCATGTGATGGCGGCATGTGATGGCGGCATGTGATGGCAGCATGTGATGGCAGCATGTGATGGCAGCATGTGATGGCAGCAATGTGATGGCAGCATGTGATGGCAGCATGTGATGGCAGCATGTGATGGCAGCATGTGATGGCGGCATGTGATGGCGGCATGTGATGGCAGGCATGTGATGGCAGCATGTGATGGCAGCATGTGATGGCAGCATGTGATGGCGCATGTGATGGCGGCATGTGATGGCGGCATGTGATGGCAGCATGTGATGGCAGCATGTGATGGCAGCATGTGATGGCAGCATGTGATGGCAGCATGTGATGGCAGCATGTGATGGCAGCATGTGATGGCAGCATGTGATGGCAGCATGTGATGGCAGCATGTGATGGCAGCATGTGATGGCAGCATGTGATGGCAGCATGTGATGGCAGCATGTGATGGCAGCATGTGATGGCAGCATGTGATGGCAGCAATGTGATGGCAGCATGTGATGGCAGCATGTGATGGCAGCATGTGATGGCAGCATGTGATGGCAGCATGTGATGGCAGCATGTGATGGCAGCATGTGATGGCAGCATGTGATGGCAGCATGTGATGGCAGCATGTGATGGCAGCATGTGATGGCAGCATGTGATGGCAGCATGTGATGGCAGCATGTGATGGCAGCATGTGATGGCAGCATGTGATGGCAGCATGTGATGGCAGCAGCATGTGATGGCAGCATTGTGATGGCAGCATTGTGATGGCAGCATGTGATGGCAGCATGTGATGGCAGCATGTGATTGGCAGCATGTGATGGCAGCATGTGATGGCAGCATGTGATGGCAGCCTGTGATGGCAGCATGTGATGGCAGCATGATGGAGCATGTGATGGCAGCATGTGATGGCAGCATGTGATGGCAGCATGTGATGGCCAGCATGTGATGGCAGATTGTGATGGCAGAACAATGTGATGGCAGCATGTGATGGCAGCATGTGATGGCAGCATGTGATGGCAGCATGTGATGGCAGCATGTGATGGCAGCATGTGTATGGCAGATGTGATGGCAGCATGTGATGGCAGCATGTGATGGCAGCATGTGATGGCAGCATGTGATGGCAGCATGTGATGGCAGCATGTGATGGCAGCATGTGATGGCAGCATGTGATGGCAGCATGTGATGGCAGCATGTGACATGTGATGGCAGCATGTGATGGCGGCATGTGATGGCGGCATGTGATGGCGGCATGTGATGGCAGCATGTGATGGCAGCATGTGAGTGGCAGCATGTGATGGCGGCATGTGATGGCGGCCATGTGATGGCGGCATGGTGAGTGGCGGCATGTGATGGCAGCATGTGATGGCAGCATGTGATGGCAGCATGTGATGGCAGCATGTGATGGCGCATGTGATGGCGGCATGTGAATGGCAGCAGGTGAGGGCAGCATGTGATGGCAGCATGTGATGGCAGCATGTGATGGCAGCATGTGATGGCAGCATGTGATGGCAGCATGTGATGCAGCATGTGATGGCAGCATGTGATGGGCAGCATGTGATGCAGCATGTGATGCAGCATGTGATGCAGCATGTGATGGCCAGCATGTGATGGCAGCATGTGATGGCAGCATGTGATGGCAGCATGTGATGGCAGCATGTGATGGCAGCATGTGATGGCAGCATGTGATGGCAGGCATGTGATGGCAGCATGTGATGGCAGCATGTGATGGCAGCATGTGATGGCAGCATGTGATGGCAGCATGTGATGGCAGCATGTGATGGCGCATGTGCTGCCAGCATGTTGATGGCAGCATGTGATGGCAGCATGTGATGCAGCATGTGATGGCAGCATGTGATGGCAGCATGTGATGGCAGCATGTGATGGCAGCATGTGATGGCAGCATGTGATGGCAGCATGTGATGGCAGCATGTGATGGCAGCATGTGATGGCAGCATGTGATGGCAGCATGTGATGGCAGCATGTGATGGCAGCATGTGATGGCAGCATGTGATGGCAGCATGTGATGGCAGCATGTGATGGCAGCATGTGATGGCAGCATGTGATGGCAGCATGTGATGGCAGCATGTGATGGCGGCATGTGATGGCAGCATGTGATGGCAGCATGTGATTGGCAGCATGTGATGGCAGCATGTGATGCAGCATGTGATGGCAGCATGTGATGGCAGCATGTGATGGCAGCATGTGATGGCAGCATGTGATGGCAGCATGTGATGGCAGCATGTGATGGCAGCATGTGATGGCAGCATGTGATGGCAGCATGTGATGGCAGCATGTGATGGCAGCATGTGATGGCAGCATGTGATGGC